GACGATGAGCTTCCGCTCCAGCCGAATCGATTTTCCGTCTGTTCCGCCATAATTTATTTAGAACTGACCCGTTCCTGTACTAAAGAGTAAACGACAATTAGCGGGAACGATATTTCGAGTTTCGCGCTCTGGATCTTGATATACTATATATATAGAATTCCTAGGAAATTCGATCCCACGCGATATCTCTAGTGGCGCTCGTTATCACGGGCCCCGTCCTGTCACGAGCAATTCGATCAATTCAACTTTCCCCGGCGCTCATTAAGCTCGCCACTTATCTTAATGACTTCTTCTTTCATCATTTCTATAATTATGACTGACATATGAGAATGAAATACGAACGATTCGCAGGTATCGACGTACACACATTGCATACATCGAAACGTTTAATTAGGCTTTACACATTAGCTGTATCGTAATTACAGTATGTCGATTAACTATAAATTCGTTTTCATAATTTCATTGGAGATAATGGAATTTTGGCAATTATAATGGTTCTATCGTTTTTATTTTTACGACGTAGAAGTAACAGAAATCATGTAAACGGAGATGAATACGATACAGGAATAATGGAGTTGCCGAATGGTAGGGAATATTTTGCTACCTTGTCCGTACTTTTATCTCGTGTAATGTAATACCTTAGCCAACATTGGTCAACATTGTTAGATCATAAAAGCTTCGGGTCTTTGTGTTTGAATTTTAACTACCAGTGCTGTTGAAACGTCGAATGAAAGAACATCCATAAAACGTGTAAAACGTGTAAAAAACGTAGACGAAACAGAAATGAATATGCAACTATGCCGTCTGTTTCACGCAGGTGATGTTTCAAGCCATTTTTGAAATATGAAAATTTGTTCTGCTCACACGGAACTACGTAGGTTCAGAAGGACGATATTTATGTTCGCAAACGAAGCTTTTGTTTCGTTTCTTCGCACGACGCGAAGTTTTTAATGAAATGCTAAAATTAATCAGTTTCACGTAGCCAAGCACGGATTTAAGGACGGTGCCCGACTTGAGCCTGTGATTGTCGGTTAATTAGCTCGGTAAAATCCTATTTTGTTTCCACCTAAAAAATGAAATAGACCGGACGTCTTTTCTTCGAGTTGTTAACTCTTCCATCCTCCTCCCTTTTCTTTCTTCTTTCTGTACGTTATCTCTGTTGTTCCATTATTATTTTTATTTCGAGAAGTTTATACTCTTGCCATTTGTGTAGGATACCGTTCACAATAAGACGTTTAGAAATTTCAGATCAAACTTTCGTATGTGGGTTGTTGGTGGTGAAAAGTGAAGAAGATACAATTTAAAAAACTTCACAAAGCGGAAGCTGGAGGGGAAGTCGTACTTCCTTGGATCATTCAAAGCTATGCTGGTATTTGACGAGGGAAACGCGCGTCTAAACTTTACGGCGCGCTGTTTCGCACTGTTGTATGACGTTCTTATATCTTTTTCTTCCTTATCTCCTTTCGTTGCACTTTATAAAACGCGACGTACATCGAAAATCTAAGATGGAAGAAACGGAATTAGTAAAGAAGTTAGGGTGAGATGAAGGGGAATTATGGACAACGAAGAGGCAGCTTACTTGTGTAAGATTCATAGTACGAACATACCGCGTGAAGCGAGAACAGTAAAGCGTTTCATTCCTTTACAAACAAATCTTCATTCCGCTGTTTCTCGGCCGTGCTCGAAAAACTAAAGAATCGCTAAATCAAGAGGGCTTTAAACTTGGAAGAAACCACGACACAATAACTTGGAATGAAGTTCGAATTTTACGGCGACTCGTATGAAAGAGAAGAACACAATACCTTGCCCTACGAATTATCTCGTAATTTAAATGAGAGAACGGTGTATTTCTGAATAAATTTGCCTAGCTGAATATTTTGATTTTAATTTTTCCTTTTGTTAGACGAAACAACGGATAAAGCGCTACCGTCATCAGCCAGTTTTCAACGAAGATTCGAATCAGCCGGTGCAAAATATAAATTACTAATGTGTGCAATGAATTCCTAACATCCGTTTCTATGGTAATTTGTATTCCGCTTCTCAAGTGAATGCTCATCCGTATGTAAAAAGCAAGATTTACAGGTTACGCGAAGTATACGAGGGCATGTCGTGAAAGATTCTTGATCGGTTGCATCATTTTCTGATATCGAATGTTTCACTGCCTCTTGGGAAGCTCGAGGCGGCTGGTATCTTGACGAAAGAACAAGTGTTCTTTTCCTCCTTTTTTCCGAGAACATGTTGAGTTCGCTTCGACAAACTAGTGTAACTAAGTTTTAAGATAAAATTAAATTGAGAAAACTGTTTTTACACTACGATATTTGAATTGTACGAGCAAAGTACTAAAATGTACAATTAAATAAAATTCGAACAAACACTGACGCTCATATCAGCTACGTTTCTGCCGAGGCAAAAGAAATTGATTTCTCTGATAACCAATTACAATGATTCGTAAGAGCGCAACATGCAAGGAATATTTATTCTATTCATTCTCTTCTGTTTTCCATCTCATTGGTTTTCTACTTCGTCCGAGAAAGTACACTGAAAATTGTTCGGTAACTTTGCTTTCCGGAATACCTTAACAAAGAAAATTCCGTGCACGAAGGAGCGATAAAACAAAGAACAGGGGAACAATGATAACTAATTTCAATAGACCGTCAAATACGGATGAACACTATTAATTACCGATAACAATTGTCCATTAATCTTGTCGGACGTTTATTGAAATCATAGGAATATTTCGACGCGATTCCAGCGAACAAATAGAGAAATTTCAATTAAAAATTGCCACAAAAATATTCCCGTCCTTTTAATCATAATTTATATTCTTTGCTTTCATAACGTGGATTCTTTGTGACGAGAAAACGAGACATTTGACGTAATTACAATATAACATCGGATAACGTTTAAGTCAGCATGAATAATTAATTCGACGAATCACTGTTTCACCACAATATCGTCACAACGCTATTATCTCATTGTTACTTTGTCGACGCGATTTATCATTAAATTAATATTATTCGTTTATTAGCTCGAGTGGTTTCATCCACGATTATTATATCCATGTTTCTTAATTTGCTGAATAACACGGATCGTACATTTTTTAGTTTGTTAATTCCTGACTTTCTCCATGCCGGTGTAAGATTATCCGTCCCCTTTAGTATTCTATAGTATAACCACGTTCGCGGGATATAATATCATTGTCTACCGAAAGAGGATGGGAGTTGCATCAACGAAACGCGTATGTTTGCGAGAAATACAGAGTATTCCTCAAACGTTTCGCCAATCCCCTACTAATTGCAACGGTAAGCTTTCTGTTAATTGCGCCAAAGAAATTGTTCAATGGCGCAGCAGTTTTGGAGGTATATATCAATTTCTACCATCTTCCCTTTCATTAACGAAGATATAATTTAAGGATTCCGGAAGCCAACGTACACTGCAATTGCAATTGGAATCTTAAAGATTATAACAAAGTTGTTTGTTACTTTGAAACGAAGAACAAGAGTCGGGAACTAAAGTCAGAAGCACAATGAGCGTCGTAGTTGTTCGTAACTTTGTCTCTTCAAAGAACGGACGACATTGAATTTGCATGATCTCTTCTCCTCTTTATAATTAGAAGAAAATGTTTAACTATTTCGGAAACATCCATTACATTTTTATCATCGTCTCTCATCATTAGAAGATCTAAATAGAGAAAAATACTTGTTAATAACAAGAAAATAATACGTTGATAATATTCTTACACTGCTTAATAGTAACCTTTTAGCGATACCTTTCATGTATCAGGAATATCACAGTGTAGTTACGTCGTAGATTGTTCCTTCGTCGATCGACCATTGCCAATTTATATAGAAACATTTTTATTGCTGTGTTCTAGATCATTGTTGTTCCGCCTGATGGATTTACACAAAACGTAATCTAGTTAACGCTGTACGGGAAATGTTAAGTACGAGAACGCACGCGACACACAGCAGCCGCGAAAACTATGAAAAACGCATGTTGCAGTCATCATAACCGGTTCTTTTACGAGGATATATAGCCGTCCTCTGTGTCGGAAAACATTGAATACAAAAATTGAGAGAACTCGTTCGATAGTAAGAGCTTCCGGCAATTCTTTTGCCGCGTATTTCATCCTAACGTGATGGACGGCACAATCGTTTTTCACGAACGAAATTAGTGCACCGCCAGTGACATCGTGTACGCAAACATATGCATGTAGTCGAAACACATTGTTGTCGAAAGGCATTGTGTTTAAACGCAATTAAGTGCGTTTCATTCAGCTGCTTGCGAATCGATTTGCTACATTTAACTTCGCGTGTCGCTAATGTGTGGTATTTCAAACTAAGTCAATCCGTTCTACGACTTTAACCGCAATTAGATGTTATTTTCGCTATTTTGTCCTTTTACAAACACCATTCAGATTTCTACAAAAACATATTTTACACGAAACTTATATGAAAAAAAAATAACGTTTTCTTTCAATTTTAAATTGGTTAAACGATCGTATATCGTAACGGTGTAATGGTGTCTGAAGTCAAGAGACTCATTAATTTCCAAAAGCGTTCGATCGATTTGCACGCGAAACCATCGCAACAGATCGTTGTTTCTGGTAAGCCTAGATACGTAATCACAGGGGAGATCCATATGTCCGTGACGATCGGATTGTCAATCAGTAAACGTCACTTCCGTTAAAAACATCGGTCGCCGTGGAATCACAGTACCGTTCACTGGTTTCCACACACATCGGTTTTCGATTCGGCCTCCGAATTTCTGCGATCGGACCCTCCCGGTGCTAATTGGGGAAGTGATTTGGAACAAATTAAACTAGCAACTGTTTCGATTTACCTTTTTTTTTCTCTCTCTCTTTTTTAATCAGTGCAACAAAAAAAAAACGAAACAATCGACGTTGCATAACAACAACAATCGCAACGTAACAAGAAATCTTTGGTAATGAATGAAACAACATTTCGTTTAATGGTGGTGTCCTACGTCATGGTCGTTACCGTTGCTGTTAAGAACGTGAGCGAAAAATCCATCCTTTCCAGCGTGATATTTCACCGTTCTAATATTTCCGCCGGGCTCTTTTATTGTGTATTCACCGACTACTTCTTTGCCTGTAAAGCACCAGCAAAAAAATATGATTATCGGATGCAAACGAGTAGATATCATGTAGTGAGAGTCGATAAATAATTTTACGCTCAACCGCCGGCGGCCTGTTCTCTCTACTGCCAAAGCGAGTAAATGGAAAATTAGTTTATTCTCGACTAAAAGTAGCTGAAGAATTAATTCTTTCAAGAAGGTTAATTACAATTTATGTAAACACAAGACACCAGCGAGAAGAAAAATCGATTTTCTCGAGGGAATGTGAATATTTTAATGCTCCTCGAGAACCATGGCAAGAAGTAACACGCTGAGTACGAGAGAATTATCGTTTTACTTAACAGTTATCACAGTTATCGAATATCTTCTGTTGCTGGAAGTACTTCGCTTCGACGCATTCGTTTCGTTGTATTGTCTTTAAGTTTGCCTGTGAAACATTAAGGCGCATATCTAGAGTACAAAGATGTCAAACTCGCGCAGAGATACCATTCGTAGTTGAGGTATAGCTAGTTAGCGTATTAATATGGCAAAGTGAAAACGGAATAGGTTCGTTAGTAGTAACATCGTATCGCGGATTATTTTCAACGTAAATTTCCTTCTCTGCAAATAATTAATGAAGCCACGTGTGCTTCACGTCGCGATGAGGTCGGGAGCGTCAAACTCGCGATATTGATATTCTTCTTTGAACGTTCCAGCCGAGTGATCCTGAAAGCTCTCTGAATGAATCCTTACGTGGTACTGCAATCAAGTATGATTAAACTAAGAGACGTTGCCTTGAGAATCAAGATCCGTGATAAGTAATTACTTCTCCCGTATAATGTTACCATCTTGTTAACTCTATTAGAGGGCCGCGTTTACTTGATGACAGATTCGTAAACTATAGGAACTTTAAAGACATGTCGTGCCAAGAAGATACGCTGAAAGAGGAAACTTGTCGCTTTCTTATGCGTATCGCGTGCGTATCGTTAAACAAATATTTCGATTTTCTACGTATCAGAATATATGTACGTTGGAAATATTCTCATCAATTTCTCGTCGCACCGAATTTAAAAATCACTCGAAGTCACTCGACAGTGTCTCTGCTCGGTACCTATTAAACTATCTGCTGGAAACAAGCTCCTCGACTTTTTGACATTCGAGGGTCATTAATGTAGGCCACCGTCTGGCTTTAATTAGGCCGATTACGTAGAAACGAAAGTGGAAGAAGTCGTGGATGTTAGAAAACTTGACAAACTCTCGAGTTCAAAAGAGTGTGCAAACGAAGACGACTTTCCAAAGCGTTCTATGAGCTCGGGACGCTTTTCGAATCGCAGTAAACTAATTAAAATACGCGACCTAAGGATTCTAGAATTTTCCATGCACGAACACCGGAGGGAAAACTTCAGCTTGGAAACAAAATGCGATGCTTCGAAACGTCTCTTTCGATATTTCCAAAGATCGCGTTACCACTTTTATTTTTGCTTTTCTATTCGTTCTACCGCTTGTTATACGTTCGTCGACTTGCCTCTCGCCGTTGCATCGCAATTTATCGCTGCGTAACAGGTATAACTTGATTATATCAGTATTTTTTGCGTTCACCGTGCGTACAAGTCGCAAGTGTTCTTTCAACAGCGAAAGAGATTAATTTTCTTCCAGATTATGCTTGACGTACCGTCTCTATGCTCCTTTTGGCCATGATAATCGCCAGTATGATGGTCCTCGACGCCGTATGAGAACTCGTAGTGCGGATGTGCCACGTAATCATGATCGTGGTGACCGTGCTTGTCTTTCCAAGTCACCTCTCGAGCATCGCCTATCACGGGTCCGTGGAAATGTTGAAAAGAGTGCGCGTGACCGCCAGCGTCGGCTTTCTCGTGAAATAAAACCAACAGCAGCAGAATTGCCGTTAAAGAAATCTGTTGGAAAACAATTAATTTTGCATCAGTTATATGCAAAAATATTTGTTTTTTCTCTTATTGAAAATCGAGTGAAGGTACTATACTGTTCATGTTCTATTTCAACAAAGCCTGGAAAAGGAATTATTTTGAAAATGCTCGGAAAGAACGAAACGTTCCCATATTGGAAAGAATTTCCAATTTACAAAGTGATTAACCAATGTCACGAGGAATCGATAGAAGTTTCGGTAGGCTAGGACAGGACAATTCTGTTAGCGTACCAGCGTCCCGACCTATAATTAAATGGTACGAAACGATTGATCGGTCGCGCCACTTCACAATTCTGGGTTTGCCTATCACGATTAGACAAAAAATGAAGAATGGTCAATCACGCGATGTACACTCACTTTAAAAGCCATATCACTGTCGAATGGTCGTGCTATACTTCGGTAAACAGATAGAATAGATCGAACGATCGATACGATTCCTCCGCGATCGTTCGAAAACTGAATAGGTCGGCCCGATGATATTGTTCCTTTTATAGGTCCACTTTAAAAGTTTCCCTCAGCTTAATTCTTCTTTGGATCCATGCCCGGAACTTTGTCGCTGCAGACGTTGCAAAACACAATTATTCAAGCGGGCCGTGGCCGCAAAAAGCGTCGCTCGATGCTCGCTCGAGCGCACATTAGCCAATCCGGTCGTACTAATGGAATTCGTTGGGAAAGAGTACGAAAAAATGAAACTCCGGCAAAAGGCATTTGTTTCTTCAATCAGGCGACACACGCGTATCGATCATGGCATCGCCTGCTCGTCATGCACGATAGATCCTACAGATTGCGTTACGAATTTGCCTTACGACTTTCTTCGTGGAAACAGCTCTCTGCCGCGATCGCATGCTCCATTTCGGCTGAAACTCCATCTTACATCGAGATTGTATAGAAATGCGATTATATCGTAACTCAACGTCGCGCTGCGAAAGCTGCTTCTCCATCGGTTCCGTGTGCTTTCGTATTATGCATCCTCTTAAATACGCGCACTAGCATGGCTCTGTTCGCGACACGTTTCAACGTAATCGTCAACATAGAACCACAAATCAAGTTCCGTTTACTACAGCAAAGATACAGGTAAATCCCTATTCTTAATGTATACCAGGATAAAGAAGCTTCGAGTTAATCAAGATTCTTCGTATGGCAAACTATCTGCGGAGTAAGTTCCGAGATACAGCTTCTACGAATCTCGAAGACTAACGACGAAATTCACGAACAAAAAAGTTACCATTCTCACGTTCGACGGGTTATATCGTTATGTAAAAAACTCGCGGTCAATGCATTAGAGTTCGAAGAAATAACGTTCACAGGAAGCAGGGGAATTTTTTTATTTCCGTAAGCGATCCTTACGTTATTAACAAAAACTACAGAATTCTATCTGGTCTGTCGTGGAGTGAGACGATTCTCGTCGACGGAGAAACGGGACAGAGAGATGAGAAGAGGATGGATTTTGGCACACGATGTGCTGGAGCGGCGGAAGTGCTCGAAGAGGCGCTCGGCTTTTGAGTTATGACACTTTTTGAGCCGAAGAGTCGCGATGTGAATAGCGCATCCGAGTCCAGCGTAATATCATAGCTCGATCTCAGGGTTGGGCCAGCGATAAATCTGCCTTAAATAAGATTTGCCGACGACACTCTAGCGAAATAAAACGAACGAACCGATTCAAGAGGCAGCAACGGTTTACTTTGCTTCGATATCGCTTCGTCGACACGGTAATTTTCTTTCCCTTGATTATTATTTTTCAGTTTTCAATTTAACAGAACTATCACGTTTAACAAGGTATCATACCCTTTGACCATATTCGACTATTTTCGATAATTGAGGAAATATTAAATTTTGAGGTAACTTTGATGGCAAGTTTCGACTCGAGCTACGCTACATAAGATGGTTAATCACCCACTTTCGTTTAATTTGCCGGTATGTTGCAACTCGTAGAATTTTTTTTATTGGCGAAACACGATGCTTAGCTGTCAATTTCATTGGTTCGTGTCTTATGCTTCATATGACGCATACGTGCCTCTGAATTCCTACTACACGCGCAAACACGTGATGCTAGAATCGTATTCATATTTCAATCCCACGAGACGAGCTCTTGGAATACAGCTCCCTGCCTATGTTCTCAAACGAGAAATTGGCACAGCTAACACAATAAATCACAGCGTTCTATGAGCGATAGGTATATTTCCAGATACTCCTTACTTCCGCCTTATTTATTTCCAGCTTCAACGATGCTCATGCGTATTGCGCGCAGGTTTTCTTTACTTATTTATCAGGGGAGAATTCTATTAAAGAATTTATCGTGATCAGAAGGCTCGATGACTTTCCCGACCCTTCACTTAAAACTTTTCATATATAGCCGATCTATTTTAATTAAACGAGGTCTATCTAAAGGCTCAATTTTCTTCAAGCGTGTACTCATCGATGGTTCTCGATCCCTATCTTCCACGGGAAAGTCAATATTAATTAATATTCGAAATCGATCGATCGCCAAACAATGTAAAAAGCTCCTGTCGTAAAGCAGTCTGTGATTCTCTGCCTTAACGTGAAGTCACGCGATCAGCACTGCGCTGGAAAGCGCAAGTACCTAACCATCTTCCAGATGCACGAACCCTTTGTCTTGTGAGCGCACCATGCCATGCAGTTGCACGGTAAAATGTGCACATCGTGAAGAAAGAGACGGAAACGAAACGGGGGAGAATCGAAAGTAGAAGCCTAGCAGTGTTGTATGCGAGCGGATGTTCTCTTCTATGTACAAGACCAATGATTATTACCAGGTAATATCGCGATACGAGAACAGATAGTAGTGAAGGAGGCTGAAAGCCGAGGGGTAAATCCCGAGATTAACGTCGTGGCTGTTGTCTACATAACGCGGTGGATACGCTCTTTCATCCTCAGTCGCATACATAATAGTTGATCGTAACGAACCCTCCACGAGATGATGACTACGTTTCGAGTATCCTCGGAACAAATTCCAAGCAGATAGTTCTAGGTAGAGAAAGACGAATAGTTCTGTTTGCTCGCGAATTTCAAGGTGCACTAACCTCTTCGTCGTTCCTTTTCTTTCTTCGTTCCGTCGACGTTCTTGCCTCTGTTACTTTTGGTTTCACGGGAAATCAGGAACGCGGCACCCTCACCGCCATCTCGCTTGCCAAGGCGTCGACAACCTCTATTCGTTTATAGGTCACGATCTATTCCGTACCTTTGAGACGGACGCGGTATCCAGAATTCCTCCTTGACCTCCATCTGCGCTTTGAAATTCCAAAACAACGAAGATACCGTGCATCCCATCCTCCCGCTGCCTGCTACTGCTTCGACGACGTTCGATAAACCCGTCCTGACTTCTGATGCAACGATCATAGAATACTTTGATACACCGCGTTTGCACGAATGCATCTGATTTCGGATGATTTTAGGGAAATCCGAAGGAACTTGTTTCTCAATATAATATTCATAGTTTCAGAAAATGATAGCAATACTTTTCTCTTTTATCAACGTTATTAATTCTTCTGGAAAATCGAAGAACAAATCTCTTTCTGTCGAATAAACGATTAGGAAATTGAACGAAGAGAAACTGGCTGATACGAGAGAGTAAAAAGAATCGTGAAAGATTCCACTAGTACTTTAGGTGTAATGGAACAAATTGGATGCGTTCCAGTGTTCCGTTCTCACGCGAATCTTTGCCGGTGAGTATGGTTCGGACATTTCGGTTTACACCTCTCACGGCGTCGGTTTCGCTAACGAGCCGAAGCATTTTCCGGGTCCTTGCTAATTTTCCAAGCGTTCCGATTACAGGCTGATAGCTGGCGCTTGGGTCACACTGGTGTCGCCGGGTTAATTGGTTTTCATGGCAACGCTGAAGTTACGAATACCCGGCTCGGATTATCGCGGGTTGTAAACAGTGGTCTCGCCACGATACGCCGCAGAAGGAGCCAGGAGTTCGGTTTTCGTTTTGGAAGAAACACCCGCGCTTGTACTTACTTTCATCGTTACCCTGTTTGCGCGGTTACTACTTAATTGCTTCGAATTTATCTTTCGTAAGGCGAAGCGTTTTCCTCGAAGAAAACTAGAAAGGAACGCATTGTAATTTTCCGAAATGCTTAGTAGAACAATCTCGTGGCAAGATATCGTATGGATTTTACAATATCGTATCATGTAAAAAGCAATCTCTGGAATACGTTTCTTCTGGCCGATCCGAAAACACGATAAACCGGCGCATCCGGTACACGGTACAACAGGAAGTTGCACGCTAGCGTAATCACTGTCAGGATTCCACGGATATTACGGAACCATGCTCGAATAATGAATGGTAAACTCTTCTCTGCATATTCTGCGGATGTTCGTCTCTCGAGGCGCGCGTGTATCGTCTTTAAAGTGCATCGCCGTGGCTGGTGCAATTCGGAGAGCTGACGAAAGGTACATATGCATGAAGGCGCTTAGCCGTACCTTCTGCTGGTTACGTTATCCGTGCAGTCCTGCCGTTGGAATAAAATTACACAGTACGATAATCGATGAGTCTGCCGTGTGGTATAAGTTTGTAACCGTGGTAGCCTATTAAACTTTTAGAAAACTGTATTGACTTTTCGTGTTTCCTTTTTATCGGAATTTGCGTTTTCCGATAGCACGGCGCGAAAATATATCGAAAAGCTATATTATGTTTCGCTACTAACAAGCCAGCACTCGAAATTACGTATTTACTACAACGGAGTATTACTCGCCTATTTTAGTGAGCGTTCCAAAACGATGAATACAGCCGTCGCCAAGCAATAAAATTTATCACACATTCCGGTAAACGTTGAAGGCTACATAGAATCGTTAACTCTTACTCCACGCTCTCCACAATCGTATTCTATACAGATTTCAATGGGCAATGGTGTTGACATTTCTCCGTTTAAACACACGTACGCGCGCGTCTGAGTAATAAATCTACCCGCTCTTCCATCTTCCCTGACTCGTTACTCTTTACATTTCCCCTAATTGAATTTCTTGGTAGTTCTAAATCATATGGAATGAGCGGTTTTCTTTTTTCCTCTCCAAAGACAATTTCAGGTGACAAGAAAAACTGTGAGCTTGATTCTAGCTGCGTGAACCAGGTGTAATTCAAAATCATAGACACAACAACGTACCAAAAACGAACGAGAACAACATACAAACGGGAAAGGAAACAATCCGCCAAACAAAGTATCCGTTTGACAACGTTGGGATAATTCGAATTATCCATTGGGCAACTGTTCACCTCCTAATGGCAGCACACGCTCATTTTCGTCGCTCCCGGCCACGATGGCTTGCACGAGAAGGCGAGCAGAGAGGTTGACTGGTTGTGCTCTGCGGCTGCTGCGAGTGGTAGTCGAGGTGGCGACCTACGGCTGTCAGGCGCTCCCCCAATTCATATGCAAATGCAAAAGCGACCGACCTCCGGGCATTGTTCGCCCTCCAGGGAGTTCCACTGTCCCTGGGCTTAACTTACTACGCGAATTTCCGGAAAACTTTAACGGGAGGCACCCGTATAATTGATACTCACCCTCGCCACGAACGCGCTTCAGCCAACGATTTTGTCTCTTCTCCTGTGCCATCCTTTTCTCTTGACGACGACCGCAAAAAGAAAGAAAGGCAGGCGAAGACTGAAAGAGCACCATGTACGATCACCTTTATCGTCTCGCTACGGCCATTGTCGCTCTCTTGCACCATTTAATGATGTTGCAGCTTCTCTTTGAACAAGTTTCCAGCAGGTCTGCAGGGTATAAACGCTAGAAGTCGCTTCGAAGCTCGATGCTTCGTCGATCGATCGCCGTCGAAATTGACGTTTGCTAGTCATCCCATAAGTTTCGTGTTACTACTTCCTTCATATCGAGTTTAATTCTACGCAATCTAATTTCCACGCGTGAACTTCTTACACGTTTACTTTGCAGGTAACCGACTCGTTTATTTCTATGGGTAGGCTGGCTGGCAAAGGATCAAGCTTATGCGAATATGAGGAAAAAGTATACATAATTTAATTTGACTCTACCTCCTGACTTCCTTATAATTAATTTATGCGCATAATATGTACCCGATATGAGCAGAAAGAGATTTTTATTCATTTAAAAAATGCAAATCTTTCTTTCTCGTTCAAAGAAATAAAGGTAAAGCAAATGGAATACTGTTAGAATTAAAGAGAGTTGTAATTCACGTAATACGCGTTGCTTCAAAACTAAAAGCATTAAATTCGCTTACAAGTTTAACTCTCTCATTGCAAATAATGAAACATGTATTTATCCTTTGCAACTAACATGCTTGTACTTCATCGCCATACCCAAACGCTGTTCGTAGGTATAAATTTTAATATCTCATATTTTTGTACTCTGTCAAGTATCACAAAAAGTGTACTGAGAACAGGCAATATTGCAGAATATTCCCAACAATATTCCCGACCACATTAGTGAATATTGCAAAGCAGAGAAGTATTCATTTATTATGCAGGAAAATCCAATATAGTAAATAACGAAATCTTCTCTTTTCTTACTATCTACGTCATTAGAATGTCTGATTAATTGCGATATATCTACTGCAATATAACTAATCTTTAAACTAGGCTTAGGGAAGTAATAAATATACAGAAATGTTTATAACAATACGTAACCAGATCCGTGAGAAATTCTGTATTCGTCAGACCAATGAAACCGAACAAACTACCTGCGTTACAAACAGGAAGGCGAAAAGCAGAAAGTTCCTGGACACTATTTCATGATAAAACGTACAGTTACTAAGTTGTCACTGTCGGCCTCGCAACATACCCTGTCATGTATAATGTAACTTTGATCGAAAAAGTTTTTGCTACTTTTTTATGAACCGACGAAAAGAAATATCCGCGAAAGGAAGCAAAGAATACAGGAGCCACAAATTGTACAGACAATGTACAACGTACAAACCACGATAGCATAATTACAGTTTTCGCGGAGAAAAAGGAAACATATGTTTGAATACTTCGGTTTCGTAGAAAGCACAAATAACTAAGCGCTTAACCTTGAAATTCCGACGTCAAGTCGAAAGCTTAAAGTTAATTAAATAAATATTTGATATTGAAAGCTCAAGGTCAAACCGAAAACTCAGTTCCCGCGGGAAGGCTAAATAAACATTTGACTTTCGCATTCGGAACGTTCTCGTCGTTTCGTTCTTGTATCGTTGCACGTTTCATACGTTTTCTGCTTTCGGCCAGGTATTTTAAATTCTTGATTTATAACCGTTAATTCCGTTGGTTATTTAACAATCTCTTTGTTCGTGGTAAAATAATCGAACCGTATATATAGGACAATTTGTCCGAGTTTGTTTCGGTTCACGAGAAAAGTAGTTTTGAAGGATTTCGTTTGGAAAATGAGGGGCTGACATTTGTGGCGCGATATCCGATATCCTGGCTGCTGTGAGAGTTCTATGTTAAGCTCCGTCACCGATATTTCATATCCGAAACTCAGACAGTTTTAGCTTCCAGGTCGAAAATCTGCTGACACAGGAATGGAGTCTCGTAGCTTCTGAGGTTATCCGCTACCGTCCAAAATAAGGAGCATTATTTACCTAACCTGTGACCTCTGCGGATGCGAGGAATATCGTAAGTTTGTTCGAAGCTTCCAGGGATACTGAAAGGGATCGATTCTTCGATCTTATCTGTTCCGATATCGAGATTCTCTCCGGATCAAAGAGACTATAAATTCCAAGCAAATATCTATCGCTCCGAACATCCCCCGAGCTTTCACCGAAAAATTAAGCGCAGATCCTTGGATTCGTACGGGAATTGCGCGGCATATTAACAAGCTTTATATTCTGCACCTGTTGTCGATTAATAACCCCGTGAAAGCGGTAGTTTTAAGTCATGCCTAAGAATTTACTGTTGATAGAGCGATATCGTTGAAGAATCATTAATCAAACGACCACGTAAAAACGACCTACATTGTCGCTCATAAATTATTCGAAGATTATAGGTTTTTAACTTCATCGAATTTTGCTCCGTCCTCTCTTTATCGTTGCTTTGCGCAATCCGATTGAAAGTTTTCTAAAATCA